AAAGACATGGAGCCCAGTCGGAAAAATGAAACCATGGGAATCTCAGCTTTGTAGATTGGCATGCTTTTCATTGTGACAGTGGTTTTATTGTCTTTTGTTGTAGCTATTTTCCATGTTTTTGTTATTTGTCTGAACGTCCACAGCGGACACTCAATATTTGTTGTGACAGGATCAGGGATAAGCAATGGCAAGGCATACTGACACTGTGACAGCTTGGTAATCATTTTCTGTTTAAGGAAGCCATCTGAGCAGCGAAATGCTGCCATTTGAACATCCATTGGATGTACATGATTTTCTTTTGAATGGTTTAAGTCTACATTTGATTTGAAAAGAGCTGCTAAATCATTTTCATCTGTGGAAGCACTCCCAGAATTTGAGACGATCTGTAAGGTTTTCACATTGGAGTTCTTTTGCTGTATGTGTATGTATCTAGCTCTATAATCTAACATCAATAACCTCTGAAAAAACATGCAAACTTTATCTTTTTCAAAAATCTCAGTCTGTTTTACAGGAGGGCCTACTTTAACAAAGTCCTCTGATGACAGCATATTTGGATGTTGGTCCTGGAGGTGAAGTCTTCTAAGTAATGATTCAATTTCTTTATGGCATTTCTTTATGTTTTCCTCTGAAGGATTGTAGGAAGACTGTAAAGGCAAAAAAAAAAAACCCCAAAAAAACTATTAATAACCTTTAACTGATAAGGCAAAAAATGTAAAGACAACTATAGTTTTAATATTGCACTAAGTAGTAAGAACTACAATAGGCTACACGTTAATGATTAGACACACTGGCAAAATAAGTAAAACTGTTGTAATAATTGTATTGTTTGTTAGGTTTTTTTTCCCAAAAAAAAAGAACAAACCCAAAGCACCTCAGCAATTTTTAAATGTTTTACATTGCTATTCAAATATGTCTTTAGGTTATTTTTAAAGCCACACAACCACTACTGTGTAGGGTAATTCAGTTAAATTTTTCAAATCTATGAAGTCAATGATTAAATGAAATAAAACAAATAATTTTACAGTTGTAACCCTTTAGTTATATGGAATGCAAAAATCTCAAAAATGAAATCCAATCCAATAAAAAAAGAAAGTGGAAAATGTATAATAATTTCATTTTTCTGAAAAATGTTTTCTAATTGGAAGCTGCAATTAGGAGCAAACTTTAGCCTTGCGCTGACCGAAAGGTAATATGATATACATAAGTATGTTATTAATCATGAACTGAAAGTCTCAAGCTTTATAGTATGGCAGTGCAGAGCTGACAAACTATTAACTGTAGAGCCAATACACTTGAATGTGACTGAAGCAAGTTAGGTCCTTATAAGATGTATAAATTCTACACAAACTAATAAAATACTATTTCTAAAATTATCTATATAAAACACTTCCTCCTTCTCTTGTTCTATGTTTTTTTTTTTTGGTCAGAGTGCCCAAAACAGGGGCACGAATCATCTGGACAACAGAGGTAAGGTGAGCAATGTTCTGGAGCTCAGTGAGCAGCAGCTGGAAATCAATACGAGAACACAACAGCTCTGGAATACGGATGAAGTGGTCTAATAATATGCCTCAACAACAATCAATTTTATTGTAAAACATAAAATATGATTTATAAGTAATTTAATTATTAAATAATATTCCACATTATGGAATATATTTCATAATAAAGAGCTGAGAATTTTAATTGTGTTCAGTCATTTCAACTATATGGTCACATTGAATATTTATCTATTACTTATACAAGTAGATTTTATTTATTAAATTATGCATTCAATGTAATCACTGTATTCCATTTGCATTTTTGAATATTACATTTTGATATTAGATAATATCACAAAGAGAATGACGTAAAAAATATTTAATCATTGTTAATTGTTGAAATAAAATGTGCTGCTTTTACTTACCTTAGACCTCTGTTCAGCCTCAAATGTTTCTCCTGTATGATAATATAGAAAAGAAATAGCAGTTCATGTCATCTTATATAATGCCAAAAGGTATATGCAGAGCTCAATATGCATCCCATTCCTGGTAAAATTACTCTCACTACCATATCACCCCTGGTTTAAAAGACTCCTGCCACATCAGAGGCCTATTTCACAAAAGCAGAATCCAGTCCAGGATTAGAGATCAAGCCAGGCTCCATCTAGTGTGAGGATTGCATCCTTTCCAGGACTTATCCATCCCGGAAAGGTCAAGCCAGACTCCACAGGTGTGCCCAAGCAAGTTTTTTTGTCTGAACTAGTTTTATATTCATGGTAGTGTTGTGATCAAATGTTGCTGATGTAACCGGAACTATTCCCCTCTGAAGACACACCCGTCCACAGGAGGTTTAAAAAGGCCAACTTCCCGTATCAACAGAGATACCTAAAAAGTGTATCAACAGAGATACCTAAAAAGATACCTTTTTAGGTATCTATGCTGTACTCCATTACTTATTTTTGTTCCTACTTCTGAATTCTACTGAATACATTTTCACACAAGTATCTGTACTTTCTATTCCTTACATTTTTTAAAAACTCATTACTCTTGGCTTTGGTTTAATGTTTATAAATAATTATTTTTCATGTGCGCCATCAAATGCAGATCATTGGCGCCATCCACATCTAGTGAAAACTAATTGGATAAGTCATATAAGGCAAACACTCATTGGTTAACTATTCATCAAATTTGTCCTGATGCCAAAGGAAATCCTCAGAAGCAAGCAGGTGTTCTTCAAACTGCAAATCACTTTACTTGGATTTATTCACTTTAAATGGACTTTTCACTTTATTTGGATTTAGTTTTTACATATACATAGATATACGTACAGATATATATACAGAAGAGCTATATGTGTATATATATTTTATCTCTTTTTATTCTTATTTTTTATCTTTATTATATTGTATAGTTGGATGTGTGTATATATCATGTAAAACTGTAACTAGAGCGTGTATCAAAAGTAATTTCCCTCTGGGATTATTAAAGTATTTCTGATTCTGATTCTGAAATGCAAATTGTGTATGCCATGCTACAATGTCGGATTCAGAAAAAGATGTTGAAATGTCTGAAAGGTCGGACACAGGCGAGAGCGTATGGGGAGGAGACCGACAAGACCTCCCTCATCCTTGGCCCTATCTCAAAGAATTTTTACTAAATAGTCGAAAAATTGAGCTTTCAGTTCATATAGTGGCATCTGACAGTTTTTTTAAAGGTTACTTTATACTTTTATACTTAAAGTATTTTTTGGAGTACATACTTTTTCACTTTTACTAGAGTAAAGAGGTCAAGTTGATACTTCAACTTTTACCAGAGTGTTTTTAAACTGCAGTATCTATACTTCTACTTAAAGGTACACTATGCAACCGGTGTTGATTTTCCAGC